GACAAAACAAACAAACAAACCAAACCAAAACAAAACAAAATCCACCCACAAACAAACAAAAAACAGTTGTGGATCAGTGGAACAGAACAGAAGGTACAGATGCAACTACATACACACTTGGCCAGTTTATCTTCAAAAAATAGGCCCAACAAGTTCACTGGAAGAAATATAACTTGTTTTGGAAATGATACTGAAATAACTGGCTTTTTACAGGCCAGAGACTAAAATTAGACCCATTTCTATCATTATGCACTAAATTAAAGTCAAAATGGATCACGGATGAATATATTAAAACAGAAACACTAAATCTCCTGGAAGAGAAAGTAGGCAGAAATCTTGAAGACATAGGTATAGACAGATAATTCCCAAACAAAAACTGCTCAGGAAGTACCTCAAAGAATCAACAACTGGGGTCTCATCTTATTGAGAAGTTTCTTCACGTCAAAAGAAATTACAAACAGAGTGAAAAGACAACCCACAAATTGGGAAAAAAATCATAACCAACAATCACTCAGGCAAAGTACTTCTATCTAAACTACATAAAGAACTAAAAAAACAATTGGCCACCAAAATTTAATGACCCAATCCAAAAATGGGCATCTGAGATGAATACACACTTTTCCAATGGAGAAATACAAATGGAAAATAAATATATGAAAAAAATGTTCAACATCACTGGTCATTCAAAAGATGCAAATTTAAATAACACTTAGATTCCATCTCACTCCAGAAAGCATGGCTATCATCAAGAAATCAACCAGTGAGAAAACCTCAGGGACTGTGTGGAAAAAGGAACTCTTTTCCACTGTTGGTGGAAGTATAGACTGGTCCATCCATTGTGGATATTAGTGTGGGGATTCCTCAAAAAACTAGAATGAGAGGGTTCATTTGACCCATCTATTCTCCTTCTGGGTGTCTTTCCAGAAAAACTGAAAACATCAAACTCTATTGATATATGTGCACCCATGTTTATAGCAGCACAATTTGTCATAGTTAAACCTTGGAAACAACCCACATACCCATCAATTGAGGAATGGATAAAAAATGTTTAGCATTTTTATACAATTGATTGCCACACAGGTATAAAGAAAGATAAACTTGAGACTTTTACAGGTACATGATTGTAACTCAAAACCATACTCATAAGAGAAATAAATCAAACTCACATATGTAAACATCACATTGTCTTCCTGCTGTGAGAAGCGGAAAGGGTAAAGATGGTCTGAAATGTACAAGACATATTGTGAACTGGGAAGTTATGGTTCAAATTGAGAAAGTCACTAGAATGGGTGAAAGGAGAAATGACAGTAGGGAAAAGGGAAAACATGCAAGTCAGTTATGCTATTGGTGTCTTTTAGTTCATTAAAAAGGAAGGTTTGTGCTAATATTTATTGGAGAAGTTTTTTGTATTTGCTTTTGTATTTTTATTTTTTCGATACAGGGTTTCTCTAAGTAGTTCAAACTCCTAGTGATACTCCTGTCTCAGCCTCCTGTCTTGTACAATGAGCAACTGCTTTCCAGATAACCACATGTAATGTACTAACTAATGCTATTCTCCAATTATTTTGCTATTACTTTTATTATTACTTTTTAAAAATTTTATGTATTTGATACAGGTCTCACTTGCAGCTCAGACTCATAGTGATTCTTCTGTTTCAGCCTTGCCAGTGCTGGGATTACAGGTGTGCACTGCCATTCCTTGTCTTGGTGGCCAGCTCAGTGCACTCAGGGCAGGAGCAGGTCCAGTGCTGCATGTGGTACCAGGGATAGAACTCTGGTCCTTATGTGTGCCAAGGCAGGCACTTAGACCACTGAACTATCTCTGGGACCCTTAATTGTATTTCTTTATACATCTTTGAAGGCACTTATTTTCTTACTGTTCTGTCAATTAATGTATATATTTTAAATTTTTTATTACAAAAAAGGGAGATATAAGTGAAGGACCATTTTGCTGTGAAAAAAAATATATATCTGCATATACAAAATAGTTAGGATAGATATACAGATACTTTCTCTTAGTTCAATGAGAAGAAAGATTTGTACTAATAGTGTTTAGACAAGATATCATGTCTGCATCTTATACTATGAATAACTACTACGAAGACAACAATGCACACTGTATTAATTATTGTAACTGTCCTACTAACCTGTTTTAAAGCTGTCTCATTGCTAGTCTTTCTCAATAAAATTAATTAAAAAATAATTTTTTTATTGAAAATTTCAATTTCAAGAGGTCCATCTCTCATTCTCGCAATATTTTTAGTGGCATCAGTTAAAAATATCAAAACAAAGTATTTATCAAAAATATATGTTGGATGATTAAACTAAGGATAGCATTTTATACCTGAACATTACTATAATCTTAAAATCAGATATATTAAACTATACCAAGAATTAATACTTATTTATAAGGCAT